GTGTTACAACGCAGTTTTTTAGTTTATAGCCGTGGCCCCTGGTGTTGGTTCTTGTTTCAAGTTCTAGTAATCCTTCTGGGACATTGTATAAGCCTTGAGTATACTTGTATGCTTCAATGAGGCCCCACGCAGAAGTCGATAACTGAGGCTTGGAAGCTTCATAATCTTCAATCTTTCCTCCCAGGACTTGCCTTTCAAGCCCGTAATTATCCTTGTTGCACGTCTTTGAACACTCGCTATTAAATTTTTGTCCTATCCAAGTTTCGCTGACCACATGACGTTTCCAAAATCTAGGTTCGGACGCACGACAGCAACAAACATCTAGTTCATCGCTTCTGCATCTAGAAACTCGAAAGAGCGTCTGATCAGTCCAAGCCGTTTAATGGCATTATTAACTTGACCTTCAATATGCTTAGAAAATTTCAACTCATTGTCGATATTAACTTTTAAATCTTTTTCCATTGTCGACTTCGACATCATCACTCTGTTGTTGCAACCGTGTCTTCTCATACTGTTCTCTTGCTGTTCATTATTCTTGCCAAAGTGGATTACTTTACATTTGTCAGCGTTACAGCCGCTCATGTGGGACACTGTCAAATGCCTTGGCAAAATCGAGTTACACTGCATCTACTGGCTCTCTTTCGTCCAGCAGGCGGGTCCATTCGTTCAAAGTAGACAAGAGGTTAGTGTTGCAGGATCTCCCGGCAATAAAGCCATGTTGACAGTCTGACATGAGATTATTAGCAGTTAAATGATCTATCAATCGATCCCTCACAACAGATTCCATTACCTTACAAACGACACTTGTCAAACTGACAGGGCGATAGTTGCCCGGGCGGCTTTTGTCACCTTTTTTGAATAATGGTGTCACTTGAGCTTCTTTCCAGTCAGCCGGCAATCTCCGACTTCACACAAGTGTGCAAAATTTCAGATCAATTGGACAGGTAAAAGTGTGTCAAATATCAGTTATAAGATTTGTAGCTGACAAAATTATATTTTCAATTTATTTGATATTGAACAAATTTTTTTTTAATTTTAAAATAATTTATTTCGTCATTTGACTCATGCATTGTCTCCAACTTTAAGCAAGTGTGCAAAATTTCAGATCGATAGGATAACTAGAAGTCTATTAAATTTCGATTATAAGATTTGTAGCAGACAGACACAGACAAACAAGAATTGAAGTTAAAGAGAAGTGTTGTAAAATAAGAAATAATAGAAAAAAATGTTGCTAGTGTCAGGTGAGTATTCGAAAAACAAGATTTTTTGAAAAAGAGAGCGTTCATAGAAAAGGGTTGTTGAAGAATGTGCGCATTGGAAAACAGAAGGAATGGAGAAAAAGGCATCTGAAGAAAAGATATTTGTAACAAACTTTAATCCTTTAAAAATCACGGTTATAAAATGACATTGTGAAAAAATTAGGATAGGACAGTTGAAGGATAGTTCGTGCAAAAAAAACGAGATATCAAAGCAGCGGAGAGGGATGCAGAGCTATTGAAAGGAGATCGTCATGCAAGATATAGACACTTGAGAAAAAAAGTCTCCCCGGGAATATACTTTAATAAATCTGGTTTTAGTGTCAGGTGACAATGTTGATACCATTCGTGCCTGGATATTTCCTGATTGATGTCTTCCTTGTTGAAAGATAAGATCCTTCACATG